CTTCAATAATTTTTATGATTATATGTCACACAGTATTTGAATATTGAATTTCCCAGCTGGAAAGAAAAAAAAACGTTGCTAGCTCACAGGGAAAATCTCAAAATTAAAAGGCGTTTTTCCTCAAAATTAGGTTATTTTGTTGCTACTTCAAAATTTTTTATGATTACATTTTACACAGTTCATTCAAATGATACATTGATAAGGCATTGATTTGTTATATTTTGACAAAATACAATTTTTGTATGTGTTTTAATCAAAACCCTAAATCTGCCTCCATACACCACTTTTAGACTTAATCCTTGTTTCAACGTGACGGGTCACAAACGGCCAACAAATGCGGACTTCGAAGGATGTAGCCCCTGAGTTGTGACTTGCTTTAACAGGTTAAGCAGTTTGGTCAATCTAAACACTGTAACCTCCACTGCCTTTCAAAAGTCCAACATAAAAAAAATATTGAAAAACTTCCCATTTTCATGCAGATATCTTTGTTAGTCGAGACTAGGAGTAATCTGTACTAACAAAGGTGTTTTCTGTTGAACTTGGCAGGACTGGAGAAAAAAAAAAACATCCAGTCCATCAGCACATCCTAAATATGGAACAATCATCCTCCTGGTAAGTCCAACAAAAGCTCACATAAAAATCTCAAATATCCCTCCTGTTCTCCAGTAATTCAAAACAAATGTGTGCCGAACAGAAATAAACTGCTGAATAATGAATTGCGACTCAGCAGAAGAGAGAGGAGTTTCGACAGAGGAGGAGGGAAACCCTGCGCTGCGTTCAGGCAGCAGGAGGCCCAGCCTGACAGGAAAATCTCACACATACAGAAATATACATCAAATAACAGCTGAAGCAAGAACAAAGAGCGTCTACAGTCAGTTTCCCTTTGCAGCACTGATTTGAATTGTTAATAAGGTACGAGAAAGCAAAATTGTTCTTTGATTGTGTGATATGTTCGCAGGGCTTTCTCTGCATCATTTTTTAATCCACGATCGTGGGCGGGCTGCCTCAGGCTCTTTATGAACTGCTAATGCACAGAACAAAAAAAATCTTTTTTTAAATATAATAAAGCCAAGTTTGGCTTAAGAACAACTACTTCAAACAAGAAAACTTTGGCAGAGAACAGGCACGTGTTTGGATTAATTAATTTTCTAAATTAGTATGCAGTCCGTGGGCTCTGCACATTTCCTGCAGTGGTAAAAAGAAAAAAAAAAGACAAGCAGAAAATTGCATTTTTGTGAAAATGCAGTGTGATCTCTGACTTTGATCCAATTTGTTGAAGAGGCTGAAAATTAATTCTCATTTTTAGAAGAAAACAACAGCTAAAATTAGCAAAACCATGGATACAAGTTAAAAACAGCTGTTATTTTTCTTTCAGCTACACCTTTCTGCAGTTCACATGTAAGATATGACAATTGTTTTATGCAATACGCTCTTCCTTACACAACCTGGGCTTGAACCTGCAGCCTCAGCCCCAATTTACACTAGATGCAGTTCCGCCTTGCTCCGGTCGATCAATCACGTCACACCAACAGGACAAAGAACAAGCACAACATCTGTATTTTCAAAATAATTCACCAAAGCAGACTAATTTTGTTGAAATCCTAGCTATATTAATAAATATATGGATATATTTATACACAAAGGCTGTCAAAATGTTTCGACCTGTTTGGGAAGCAGATGGCAACATGTAGCGTGCAGCATATGCATACACGTGACTTTTATTTTGAAAATCAGAAGTTTCAAAAAGACAACAGCGATGCAGTTTCAACTGTGTTTGGAGTTCGTCTTCCACACAATTAATGATTTTGCTCCGACTTCCACATTTATCTCCGGATTTATCGTGTAAACTCGCATTTCCTGCACACGCTTCTCGGACCTCCTTTGTGCTTTGCACCGGAGCGGTCCATGCAAACAAACGGCTGCAAACTGCGCTGAGCGAAACCGCATCTAGTGTAAATTAGGGGTCAGGATTACAAGACCATAGCACTAAACACTAACTTGACATTTGCTAAATAAAACTTTGTAAAATCAAACTAATTGGATCAGAACTCTGCATTCAATAAAAACGATGTTAAATCACTGTAATTTGTTTAGAAAGTATGTCATAAATGCCTGATATTATTAGACCCGTCTCCTAAATGAGCTGATACCTGTATAATTAAAAGTATGCTGAAGTAGCTTGATGCCAAAATATATGGAAGAAACCATAAACAATTGATGCAATAGTAGTTGTTTTTCATCCCTAACACATACGTTGAAATGACGGAGTATTAGGGCCACACAAATAGATATTTTTTATTTTTTTATATTATGAGAATAAAGTCAAAATATTACGACATTAAAGTCGTATAAAATAAAGTTATAATATTATGAGAATAAAGTCAAAATATTACGACATTAAAGTCGTATAAAATAAAGTTATAATATTATGAGAATAAAGTTGTAATATTACGAGATTAAAGTCATAACAT